CCACTTTATGTTAATATTACTACACTCAATTAATGTAATAAAAGTCATTTAAATCACCTTAAAACCCATTTCAGTAAGTAAACGGAATGGTTTGCTTGCCCAAATCATGTCTTTGGTTATTGGTTTGCTACCCTGTAATAATAAAAAGAGAAATTCATAAAAAAAAAGTTGGAAGATAACTATACAAATCCATCTTAATAACCAGTTTTGATGATCATTATGATACCTTTCCTGAAAACTTGCAAATAATCATGCTGTATAAAAGGTTCTTCGCATCTTCTAATGGAAGAGCCGTTTCAGCAGTTCTAAACTAATTAACTATCTATTCCAGTAAATGACTATAATAAAAATCATACAAATGTTTATTATAACAAATTGAAAAAACATTTCTTTCGGCACATTTGAACTGCCACAACATTTATCATATTGTTATGTTATGTACAAGCTATAGCCTTAAAAACCAATCATTAATGACACAAGAGATAAAGAACACCCAAAAACTTATACTTAAAAGAAAAATCACAGTAGACCCTTTATCATACAGATCAATACTTGAAACAAACTAGTGATTAGCAAACAGTATGGTTACTGTTGATAAAACAAGTCTTACCGGTCTAGTGAGGCCACCCCAAGAACTAGTGTCAATTTGTCCATCAGCCCAGGTAGAAGCACTCTTAGGCTTAGCACCCCAGTAGTTCCCTGGGTCCCATGCACCACCTACTGGCGTACCTGGTGTATTGGGCATGCTCTTCACCTGAGAAGGAGTATGGGGATCGTCCCACACAGCTGTTCCTGGAGAATCACGTAGAGGCATCTCTGTCCAGCTGGCACCACGACTAAGAGGTGGTGGTTTTCCCCAAATAGGGTTACCCATGTCTGGTTTGTTTCCTCCAGTAACTGGCGTTGACAAACGTATTATTCCAGGGCCTGGAGGCATGAAATTTGGCCCTCCACTAGGGGGCAAGTTATTTGTAGAACTGCCCCCACTTGTAATTGGTTTCATGTCCTTCCAATGACACACCTTTCCCTGCCTATGAGGGTTCCCCCACACAGCTGTCCCATCATCGTAATTAGTTCCCACTTGACGACGATTTGCCGGTGGGGATGGTTCCTGCCAACCTGATGGATACATGTCTTTCTTTAGCGCAACTCCTGGAGTCCAGTTATTAAGACTCGATGGTTTGTTTGCTGATGGGCCCCACATAGCATTTCCATTTTCTGGTCCACCACTACCTGCATCTGAAAACACAAGAGTAGAGACCCCTTTATTATAATAATAATAATAAAAACTTAAAAAAAAAAACATCAAAATATTTTTAAATATACCATACAAAAAATGCAAAGGCCAAAATGCTCTCAACTGTTCCTGTTGAAAATTCTAATAGCGCTGATCTTGTAGTAGTTTAGAAAAAAATTCTCTTGTAACATCACAATATGTATGTAAATAGCTTGCTTTCAGAAAAGAAAGTCCGAATTGCAGTTTTCTTTGTACTTAAAATAAATCTGGCTCTAAACTGAATTAAAGTATGTAATATTTCTTTCCCCCAAAACAATCACAATGTGCAGTTTCTCTGGAGCACGTGGGAATAAAATTGTTACATTAATAAAATTATAGTTTTAAACAATTCATCTTCTTTAAATATTCTATAAACACCTTGTTCCTCTTCATTACTTACCCCAAGAATTTGGAAGTTGACTTCCATTATTTCCCCACTGTTTATTATCTGGAGGAGGATTGTTGTGAACCATTCCACTGTGACCTTGATTAACATTTCCCACTGAAGAAGGAATACCAGTCCACATGTTACTTGTGTCTTCTTCCTCACCCCATGTTCCACCTATGTGTGTTGATGGAGTGTGACCCCATGGTTTCTGTGAAGGACCACTGTTGACAGCTGGTACGCCAGCTCCTTTGTTGCGGTTACGAATATTGGTTTCCCAAATTTCAGTTCCATTGTTTATAGGAGCTCTCCAGACGGAGCCATTTCCTTCTTTTGGACTTGCTTGTGGAGAAGGTAAGAGATCCCAGGAAGTGTCCTGATTCACAGTCTGTTACAGACAATCAATCATAGTAAGTATCAATTAAACATACCAGACAAGCAAAATATAATTAACTCTTGTGTCAGTGTTTTTTGGAGCTATACACTAAAATATATAAAAATGGACACAACAAAACACATCAGTTTTTGTTTGGTTTGTTTTTTGTTTTGAATTTTGCACAAAGCTACACGGGGGGTATCTGCACTACCCGTCCCAAATTTAGCAATGAAAGATAAGAGGAAAGGCAGCTAGTCATCATCATCCACTGCTAACTCTTTGGCTACTCTTTTACCAACAAATAGTGGGATTGACCATCACATTATATGCCCCACGGCTGAAAGGGTAGGAATGTTGCTGGGACGGGGATTTGAACCCACGACACGCAGACTGAGAGTTAATTACCTTAACCACCTAGCTATGCCAAACCCTGAAAAACACAACTCTTTATGCCTATACCACACATGCTCACAGCACTTGCATGTAAGAAAAGAATAAATAAAAACTTATAATGACAAATTTTTATGATTTCAAGCTTTATCATCAGACGTATCAATCAGTCAGTAACAGTTTGCTAAGAAAATTTCCTTATCTTGGGAATATTACATCCAAATATTTTGTCTGAAACATTTACCTCAAACAGTTTGATATTCCTAAACCTTAAGCTAATGTTGTTTCCAGACCAGAAGACTGTTTACTTTTTGGCAATAATGTTAATCAAGCTGCATGAATCTTGGATAAAACTTACTAGTCTCCACTTTCTACTTTAACAAATGCATATAACAAACACACGGAGCTGGGTGATTGATTACCGAGTTCGTTAATTGTTTATTTTCACAAGAGACTTGGATAGTTGGGATAAATAATAAACGGTTTGTTTGATTTGAATTTCACACAAAACTACACGATGGCTATCTGTCCCTAATTTAGCAGTGAAAGACCAGAGGGAAGGTAGCTAGCATGTTTAGTGGGAGGTGAGATTCGAACCTGTGACCCTCAATCTCCTTAATCACCTGGCCATCCAGGGCCAAAATAATAAAAATGGAAAAATTGATTTCCATTAACTGCTACGCTGCACAACCTTGAATTAATTAAAAATAATAATGGCAATATTTCAATTATTCTGATAGTTCAAATAGCTGAAAATGGTAATAATCAATGACATTATATTTCAATTAGTTGATTATATTTGAAAGTATACTGATTAATTTATGTGATACATCACTAACTGATGTTCACAGATAACTGAAGTAATCACCCAGATCTAACAGAACATAAATAGTTCACAAACTTTTTCAGTTCTCGGACCACCTGATTTTGCTTTTAAGTATCCAGCATACCACGAAGAACAGTAGGACTTGCTAAATTTTATGCATCCTTTTAATTCACAACCGTAAAATGGGGAATTTATACAATTTCCATTTGTGATATTCTCCAAGTACATGAAGTTAAGTACATCTTTTAATTACTTTATAGTCAAATTCTTAACGTCTCAAATTTGAGATTTATATGGGAACATTTGTCACACGTTACATTTCATAATTGTACAACCATTCAGAGGATGGAACACAGATCGAGAACCTCTAAGCTAGATGAAAACAATATTACTGATATACTAAACTTACAGTCTGGCCCCATCCGTCGCTATAAGCAGCAGCAATCCGAAGCTCCGAGATGTGTTCTTCTATTCTCACTTTTGTAGCACCATTTCCATTGTGTGAACCTTGATCAGTGTTACCATTGCTTGTGTCACTAGTGGTTGAGGTAGAACTGGTTGGGCTAAGACCTTTACCAGCTGCTTGAGCCCAAGTGCCGTGCGGTTTAGGAGGAGACATACCTGAAAAGCAAAAAACGTTTGCATGCATTTAAAAACATGATCAGTATCCAGTATGATCAAGTGTAATTAACCCTTTTGCTGCGTAGTTCGGATATGTCCGAATATACATTTACACCCACTGACTGCTAAGTTTGGATTTACCCCACGCCTACCAAAAAAGTTTCCCTCTACAGCGACATGCAAGAATATCCCCCTGTACTTGAAACAATCGCCAAACCTACGTGTGTGCTGCCATCTGTGTTCTACACTGTGAAACCTGGATGTTTATATGCCTTATTACAAAATTGACAACTTTGCAGGAACACATATAGAATCTATATAAAGACAGCTTCTTTATATCTTGGATAATGTTATCTAAATAACTTGTTTTATATTTTATAATGATTTTAGCCTCTTACTGACTTTGTTTTACCTATATGTATACCATTTACTGGAGAACACTTTTCTTCTAATTTGCTTCAATATTTTGCTTAAATCATTATTTTTCACTATCCAAAATGGTTTTCAAGGAATATTACTGTTAGATACAAAAAATACAGCTTCTTTCAATATTGAAAAAGTAATACAAAAGGTCAAATTCATACAATTATTTTATCATGGATAATTGACACTTTTTGGGAATCAGTCTGAAAATTAATTGCACAGTGAAAAAGTTAATAAAGGAAATAACAATGACATAAGTGTGTACTTTTTCAATCACCTATCATTTTATTTATCAATAACATCTATTTATTTCTTAATAGTTACAATCTATTTTAGTTACACCTAATCCCTTAATTAATGTGTAGTCTACCTGATATAATCATCCACAAAACCAAGATATTTCACTTTTGTTTTTTACCTTGACAAGCTTTCTTTGGATCCGAAAGATAAATATAAGCTAAGCTTGTCTGAATAACAGACTGGTCTTAAGAGCTTATATCTGCTTTATCTCAACAAAAAAAGCTATTTCAAACACAACAAATGTTTTACTATTACTAAGTGCACATGAAATAAAATTTAGCAGTATGCTGCAAAATTATATACAAGAAGATGCGAATGTAAGTTACATTTCCAAATGTAAATATTTAATTATGCAGAATATAATCAGAATATGTATTTACTGGGAGTGATCTGTTCAACTTACTCGATTTTCTTCTTGAAGTTTAACTATTTCATTCTGTAAACACTGGCATGTTGCCGTCAATGTGTCAAGCTTCATATTCAGGCATTCCACTTGCTCCTCTGAACTAGCACAAAACTTTTTTGCCACTTCATTCTCAGACTGAAGTTTTAACAACTTACTCTCTAGTTTATGCTTCTCTTCTACAGCTTCTACAAGCTTTTCTTTCACATTCTGAAATAAACATACACTCATAATTTTCTGTCTGCATAACTCAAATAATAGGAAATATAAAAATTAAAAAACAGTATTTTTTTGTTTTTAGGGTATATAAGATTTTCAGGTCAATGTTTCTATCCAGTATGCCAAACTGCCAACAATTATATATGTTAGGAAAACATATAATAATAACTTTGTAAGATCAATAACAGATTGTCAATTAACCAAACAAGGACTCAGAATTTCAACAACTAAAGAAAATTAAAACAAAAAAAGGATAAAATGAAAACAGTTTGGTTTGTTTTGAAGTTTGTGCAAAGCTATTTGAGGGCTATAGGTGCTAGCTATCATTAGTTTAGTATTGATATACTAGAGGGAAGGCAGCTAGTCAACACTACTCATCACCAACTCTTGGGCTATTCTTTTACCAATGAATAGTGGGACTGACTGTCACATTATAATGTCCCCACAGCTGAAAGGATGAGCGTGTTCAGTGATGGGGATTCAAATCTGTGACCCACAGATTGCGAGTCAAGTGACCTAGCCACCAGGCCAAATGAAAAGAGAATGGTGAAACTACTTCTGCATAATTATATATTGATAACAGTAAATTTTAATGTGCTAGTAGCAAAAAATATTTGTTTAAATGTTCCTATGCATATTTTGGGCTAACTGAAATATTTTATTTTTTGTAAGAATCCTCAAAACTAGAAAAGAAAAAACAAGTCCAACCCATCATAATATTTTATTACCTGAAAGTTTTTAATAGTAACTTTTATATAAACACTATAAAACTTTCCTAAAAATACTGTATGTTGAATTTTTCTAAACATATTACTTTCATGAAAAACTGCTTTTGACACTACATACCCATTACCTCCGAGTTGGCCTTATTGTAAACGATGCAGGGAAATGCTAAAACTTAAAGTTCTTGGGCAAACACAAGTAACTCTATAAAAACATTTAATTTTTTATTACATTAGTTACACCACCAATATAGTAATTAAGAAAGCAATTTCTTTAAGCCTTTTTTAAATACTGGTTTTAGTTACAATTGCACATCACTATGTTACCATCTAGTTATTTGACAGACGTGACCTTCCTAATTCCTTCAAGTACATATATATCGTAATATGAAATATGGACATTTTCATTTACTAAACAGCACTAAGATACTTATATCTGGTACAAGCCATTATATTTACAAAACTTTAGACATCGGAGGTACATTATACAACATAAAAGATGAGTTAATATTCTATGTTTCTAACTGTACTGTTAGAACCCAAATTTGCTAATTAATCTTAACTCATATTGAAAAACAAAGGTAAGAAAAGTATGCAATCTACAAGTTGTAGAACTCAATTCACAAGATTGAAACCTAAGCTCTGAAGTTCTAAGGTTTCCTCATTAAATGGGAAAAAATGTATTGACAAAATTTTAGTATGTTCATGAAATGTAGAGTTACAAATCATTAAAGGTTTATTCTCCGTTGTATTTAAGACAGCCAAAGAAAACACTAAAGGGGGGTTCAAAGGGAAGCAGAAAATATGTGAAAATTTCAGAGCATTTGGTGCATTTTCAAGGTAGAAAATAACACACTTATAAAGCATAACTTGTTAGCAATCACATAGTGCCAACATCACCAGAACACCTTGTATATCTCTTAAACTTGTGATGATGACTTGGGTATTTACATTACATAGTGCTAACATCACCAGAACACCTTGTGTATCACTTAAACTTGTGATGATGACTTGGGTATTTACACCACCAATATAATAATTAAGAAAGCAATTTCTTTAAGCCTTTTTTAAATACTGGTTTTGGTTACAATTGCACATCACTGTGTTACCATCTAGTTATTTGACAGACGTGACCTGTCTAATAAATATAGCTAACATCACCAGAACACCTTGTGTATCACTTAAACTTGTGATGATGACTTAGATACTTACATTTCATCTACAGTCATTTACAAAATGGCTATACCCATTGTTTACCTTAATTTTTGAATTTTACAATTTTAATTTACAAATTAAACAGAAACACAGAGCTTCCATGTTTTTCAGGCAGGCAGTAGCACTGCCTATGTAGAGATGGCTTGGGTTGTTCATCGAAGTGGTATTTTAAATATCTCCTCAATAGGTCATCAGAACTCTACAATACTATACAGTGTTTCCTTTTATAACAATATCTACATAATGACTGAGTAACAAGTTCTGGGAATGTGTCTAAATATCATAGCAAAAAGTTTGAATTTCTTTTTCTTCTTTCTTCTGCTTCTTTTTTATTACATGATAACTCAAAAATCAAAACAATGGTATCAACCAATTTCACTGAAATGACATAGTTTCATATCGGAGTATTCACTTTTATAAGTATTATTAATAAGTTGTAGTACTTTAAAAAAAATCATAATTCTAGTTAGCTTTCTTACAGTAATTTAGTGTTCCTTAAGTACAGGGTGAAACAGGAATTACCAGCTAGTAATAAATAAAAAATAAATATTACAGTTGGAAGCTCATTCTATTTAGAACTTGGTTATAAATACAATCTTTCTATGTCTACTTAAACACTGCATTAAAAAAAAACAAGTAAAGAAAAAAACTTTTCAAAAAGTGGAAGTAAATGTAGGAATGGCTAATATCAATCCTTCAAAAACAATGCAAACAAAATAGTAGGGGATGGCATTTGCATCATCCCTACATAACAGCACAGGCAATAATTAACATATAGCAATACAAAGAACTATTCAAACACAATTGAATTGGATTTATCCTATTTTTGTCTGTTAACATTCTACTACACTTTGTGCCTGTGCTATTATGTAGGGATGATGCAAATGCCATCCTTACTATCTTGCTTGCTTTGTTTTTGAAGGATTGATATTAGCCATCCCTACATTTACTTCCTTTTTTGAAAAATTGCTTTTTTACTTGTTAAAAATTTAGAATGACTAAAAATCAGAACATACCAGGTGAAAATCATAATTTAAAAAAATTAGGTGGAAAATCAGAATCATTCCTACAAAATTTAAATAGTTGGCAGTTACAAAATGTTACAAATAATACTGCAGCTTTAGTTAGACTTGTGAAATAAGTTTCTTAAGTGCCTTAAAACATATAATATAAAGAAATAATAGTTCATTTGTTTAACAGTTTATATTATTACAACATTGAAAACTCTATTGTTTTATTTTATTTTCTCAAGTTATTTAAATTAATTAATGGACCTATACTGTGAACACCTATAATGATCACTGCTTCTGTAATTGTTCTTACTTGCCAACGAGTCTAAATAAAACTTGAATGTTAATGGTAGTGTATAAAGGAAAATGTTGCACATCTTCATAGATCTACTCAATAATTTACTATAATTTTTAAGAATGAAAGAATCAACCCCATTTATGATGACTTATTGGCTTGCAAAAGACTGTGCTTCAATATAACAGATTGAAAAGGTATTGTTATATTAAATATATATATATTAGATTTTTACACTTAAAAAGGTGCTGAATGTAGAAAGAGCTACATGTGCTTTTGTGTTAACAATAAAATTAGTTATCTTTTACTAAGCTTCATTCACCAAAAGTTTATAATTGAAAGAAAGTTTTCAATATTAAAGATATTTTATTGATATACATGAAAATTATATCCCAGTTGCTAATCATAATTTAATGTATAAGAAAGAAAACCTTGCTGAATAATATTTGTTGCTTGATTCCTGTTGTTACCTGCTGGTCAAAACACTCATTATTGTGACCTCTGCATCTGTTACACATTAAAAAACTCAAACCAATTTTAACATTAATTAACATCCTTGGTGAAAATGTTGATATAATGAAGTAACAATAAACAGTTCTTTAAAACCATCTTTCTTTTTTCATTTTCTACATTTATTCAGTGTTGTTTATATTATTTAAATATTCAAAGCATGTGTGTGTGTGTGTGTATATATGCATATACATATAAACCATGCAAGTTGTCTGCTGCAACTAACTAATAGATTCGATACTGTAAAGCACAACTCACTAAGTTGGAAGTATGATAGGGGATATGTAAAATACAACAAATTAGAACTCAAACAGCAGTTCCTCAGCATACTTACATCACTTCTAATATTGTAATAGTGTCTACAAACTTTTTAGAGCTTTCCTATCTTTCATTTACTAATACACAAGTCACTTTAACTTTATCAGCATGAGCTTGGTCCCAGGTACTGACCAAATAACCATTTCGTGCTTGTTACAGTTTTCATGCCATAACTTTTAAATTAGTAAGCGTACAGTACTGTGCAAAAATGTTAGGACAAAGCTCAAAAATTAGATTTCAGGCTACTTTCCAAGAACAATGGAAGGTAAATCACAGGTGAAACATCAAAATTTTATTAATCTTCATATTTAGTACAACAGAAACTCAGTGAAAGTGCTTGAGGTTCAACAAACAGTTAATATTTTGTGTGTCCCCCCTTTTGCTTTAATAACTGCAGACAGTCTTTCAGGCATTGTTGCAACATATTTAATCAAAGTGTCCTTTGGGATTTTACTTCAAGTGTCTCTAATACACTCCCATAAAGTTTTTTTTGGAAGTAACTTTTGATTTGTCAAGTTTTTGATCTATCAGATCCCAGATCT